TGACTCTCCTCATCATCAACTGTGTAATTCATCAAACAAAAATGTCATTTGATAGTTTCAGGTTCTCAAATGTGAGTTTTTTGTTTTTTTTTATTATTTTTGTTCAGACAAAACAGGCCATTTAATGATGTCGCACTGTTTCAGGACACTGTAAAAGAGTTTTCACTGCAACTTTGAAGTATCTGTACTTTGAATATTTTCATTCCCTGCCACTTCATAATTGGACTTTTTACTGCACCATGTGTATATAATAAGTTAATAATTAAATTTTCAGAATAGGATGAATAAAATAGAGAATAATCATCAGACTCTATTGATCCCAGTAGGAAATCCACCAGCTACCCAGCAGGATGGAAAGTACTTCCCAGTATAAGTATATAAGGTAGTTACCATCAGCTCCACCTTTACCAGCTGCAGCATTAAAGAGATGGACACAGTAATTAGTCACTATGATCCAGTATCAGAGACATTACTGGGACACGGGCCGTTCAGCGGGACGAGTACTGGTACTGTTGGTACTTCAAGTAGATTTGGAGGCTGATACTACTGAACATTTACTTAGTGTAACATTTTGAATGCAGGACTTTTACACTGTGGTGCTGCTAGTTTTACTGAGGTATACTTCCTCCACCACTGTTTCTAACTATCTGATGGCTGATCCATCATAAAGTCCAGTCTTAAAGGAGCCGGTGTGAGATCAACGTTGACTGACATACAACGTTCACCCTAGGTTTAGACTGTTACATCAGACTCATAATATTTACCCCTGACTGCGGCTAGAAAACAGGCCGCTACACCTTCTGTAACATGTGACATCTCATTTATATGTAAATCAATGTTTCTGTGTGGCATGGTGGAGCAGCGGTCACCTCACAGCAAGAAGGTTCCGGGTTTGAGCCCGGGCCGACCCGGGACCTTTCTGTGCAGAGTCTGCATGTAGGAGTGAGTGTGGTTGTTTGTCTACATGTCATGTGACAGACTGGACCCCGCCTCTCGCCCAGTGTCAGCTGGGACTGGCTCCAACCCCCCCGTACAGATGATGGGTGGATGTTTTTTCTGCAGAGATCCATTATGTAGAAGAAGTGGAAACTCCACACACTGCACGAACAGAGGGGGGTCTCAGATGACGGCTTCCTCAACTGAAATCCCATTCTGGGTCTGGTGGAGAGGCGTCTGTAACTGAGTAAACCAGTAAGAGGAGTGGGAGAAAAATGTTCCCAAAGGGCTTCGTAGTAGCTACCAGACCAGAGTTTGCATTTTTATATTTCCTCATTCCCATGTTTAATTTAATTTCTGAAACATTCAAACATGGAGCACACTACACAGAAAAGAGCAGAACATTATTATCTGCTTCTCTGTTTGAGTCATAAAATAAATATTAGCTGTTCATTTATCAACAGTCACCTCAAACATTTTGCTTTACAGTTCAAAATGTCCCCAAAATTTAGATTGAGTCGGCAAAATGTCTTTTAAGAGGAAATAGCTAAAACGGTGTCTGTAATAAAAATCATCTGACTTAAAGAAACTAGACGGCATCAGGTTCACATGACTGGCAGAGCTCCAGAGCGAGGCGTCCATCGCTTCTCTGCTCCAGTTTGTAATGTAACAGCTGTAAAACTGTGTCAAACAGGAAGCTGCTGACAAAGGCAGCGAGTTCTGAGCGAAGCTGCCCAGAGGTGCAGCTCCCTCCTTCAGCCGTCACTCTCTCTGCTCCCGCCAACCAGCCTGTGGAAGACGGAGCGGTCGGTCTGGCAGAGAGCAGCCGGAGTGTCGAACTCCACCGCCTTCCCAGCATGCATCACCAGCACCCGGTCACAGTCCATGATGGTGTTGATCCTAACGACACAAGGGACAGAAACATTTATAGTTTTCTAAACTTACACTGAAATACGACAACTGAGCCAGGAGTTTAAGGGTTTCACCCCCAAATTAAAGGGACATGGGAACGTGTTCTGCATCATTATTATTATTATTATTATTGTTACATCTCACAGCAGCTACTTGTGCATCAGATACAAACGCTTCACCTGTGGGCGATGGTGAGCACGGTGTGGTGCTGAAACTTCTCTCTGATGGTCTGCTGCAGCAGTCTGTCCGTCTTCTGGTCCACGCTGGCCGTGGCTTCGTCGATACACAGGACCTACAGCACGGACACAGCGGCTCAGCTGTATTCACCAGAAGCTCTAAGATGCCAGTGGACGGTACTGATTTTGGAAACACTGTGCTGAGTTGCACTGGGACGTTTATGTGCTGCCCTGACTGTGACCAGCACTTTGATTTGGTGGCTGGCTGAGGGTTTAATGCGCTGCTGTGTAAAAGAATCAGCAGTTGGTCTAAGTTAATAAATACAAGGACATTTACACAAACACATTGTGGTTGTTGGGAACAAACACAGATTTTGTATTTCTGGGTCATGTCCTAGAGCAACCAGAGGTAAACTGGACTGCACTCAGAGTAAAAGACCAGTTTTTATAAGCTCACACCTGCAGCCTCAGGTCGTTTCTGTAAAATGAGTAGCAGACAAAGGTTTCAGCCAGCGGCTTATTCAGTGAGCGGGTGTGACGGCCCAACCTCCTCTGAGCCTCACAGTGCCAGGTTCTCAGAACAGGATCAAACCAGACAAAGGCTCTGGCATTTTTTCACTAATGCCCATTCAACGTATTTACATTCAGATCTTCCTTGTTATTGGTGAAGGACTCCATCCCCACACCAGGTTCAAACTGCCTCCCCACACTCCAGGACACTTTCTCACCAGTGTCAGCCTGTGTGTTTCCGTTCATCTTCCTACAGCTGCAGCTGATCGTGACCTTCCGTTCAAAAAGAGATTTTTGTTTTTAAATAAAGTTTTGTGTGTCTCATAAAATATATATCGTTTTGATAAAATGATTTCAATTCCCTCAAGGTGTTCAGGATATATGGGGTTCATGAGAAGAGGCCAGACGGATTACCTGAAAACATAATGGATCGGACTGCAGCTAGTGCCAGTGCCAAAGCATACAAAGGGGCGGAGCTGCACACACAGGCACAAAACCAGTAACTGACTAGACGCTGGTCAAAGCAGGTCTGTGTGGGAGTTACAGCAGGTTGTACAGGTCTCACCTTGGCCTGGGTCAGCAGAGCTCTGGCCAGACACAGAAGCTGTCTCTGTCCCACAGAGAAGGACCGTCCCCGTTCCCCAACCTCGGCGTCCAGACCACCTGACACAAACAGGAGGCGTGAGAGTCAGTCTGAATGTGACACTACAGCTACTTCTTACTGATGCTCTGTACATAAAACTGTCTGTGAAACATTAGCCGAGACATTTATGTAACAAAACCAGCTGCTGAGTCATGATCTTATGTTTTGTTAAAGTCTTAGTGTCGAGAGTCAAGCAGCCACTTCTAGTGCATCCAAAACTAAATCCCACACCACCTCCCCTACTCTGTCCTCCTCTTTACAATCCTACTGACAAGACGATTAAAGCCATGAGAGGGGAAGGAAAAGGAGAATCAGTGCAGAGTCTAGTGACAGCCTGGCAGCCTGATGCATGCTGGGATACGTTCCTGGTCCAGCAGCACTGCTCAGACACTGGTGAACGGATAATGAACCCAGTGGCTGATTTACTCAGTGGTAAAACCAACAGCCTGCTGACCACACAGCTGAGGTGGCACTGGTCCAGGACGTCCAGCAGCTGCTGCTCTGGGTGTCGCCCGCATGGATCCACATTCTCCCTGATGGTCCCACTGAACAGGAACGGGTCCTGAGGAATAATGGCCAACCTGGACCTGCAGAGGGCGCCAGTGTCACACACACAAACTGTCAACACTTTCACTTCCTGCCTTTATTATACTGCACAGCATCATCAACGTCGGACTTGAATTGTGGGTAATGTTTAAAATGTGGCTGAGCACGAGTCAGCAGCCGATCAGGTTTCCACAAATGGAAACACTGAGGCTGATGGTGGTGACTTTGTATTAACCCTGATCATCCAGAGACTGATGACGATACAACGAAACAATAAATCAGTCAGCGATTGTAACACTGAAGCTGTGAGTACCGTCTCCCTCCTTAACTGATGCATCCAGGCGAGCTCACAGCTCGCCCTGTAATTCTCAGCCCAAGCTGCCACCTCCTCGGGCTTACCTGAGCTGAGCGAGGCCCACAGTGCTGATGTCCAGCCCGTCCAGAAGAATCTGGCCCTGGCTGAGCTCCACCATACGAAACAGGGCCAGGAACAGGGTGGACTTGCCAGAGCCTGTGCGTCCCACGATGCCCACCTTCTCCCCAGGTCGCACCACCAGGCTCACCCCGTCCAGGGCGTTTGGGAGACCCTCCCTATACGCCAAAACTACGCCGCGAAACTCCACCCAGCCCTGCTCGGGCCATGCAGGGGGCAGCTGGCAGCATTGACAAGACACGTTATTACATATCAGGTTAATAGGTCTGAAAATGGGTTTTAAAAAAACTTCACCCTTAAAAAGATTTGACATTGATAAAAAATTACTGGCAAACAAATCAGGTTTTTGCATTTATGTCATCATGAAGGAGTCTCTTTTTTATTTTCCCATGGATGTCCTGATTTAAACAAGAGTTACAACAATGGAGACTGACAGCAGGACATGGAAGCAGAGGGCCAGCGCGTCCCATCAGCCTGTTGTAAGCTTAGGTACTAGTGCTGGTTTCCTGTTGATAATTCATGTTCCCTGTAACAAAGTTCATGGTCTGACCTGCATGTTCTGATGCTGGGGCTCGGCCGGTAGCCCCGTGGAGTATTCTTCAGTCCGCTCCACGCTCACCAGCTGCATCTCAGTCTGAGTGAAGCTGAATATGAGGCCAGACAGCAGCGCGGTGATGGACAGAGCGTAGGACAAGGACAGACCCACCAGACCTGACAACACGACCAGTAACACACACTCTTACTAAACAGGTGCCACAACAACAGTGAATCATCCCACACACCAGTGCACAGCCACCAAACCCAGCTGCTGTCTGTCTAACCTGGATCAACAGAACTGAGCTGGTGCTGGACAACGGCGATCACCCCAAGGCCGGTCACCACAGCCACTCCGATCAGCTGCAGGCGGATGTCCAGCCACTGCATCGCAGCGTTGCTGAGAAACAGGCAGCGCTGGTTCTGCTCCAGACGCTTAGCACTCTCCTCCTGGAACCTGGAAGAGCAGTTCAGTCTTGTGTGTACAAAGGACACACTTTTAAAAACACAGTGACTTTTCCAATGCGATGTCATTCCATATGACAAGGATATGGACTTGATCAAACCGTTCAGGAATTTCGTTTCTCAAAAACAGACAGAACTGTTTGGGGATGGAGCCCGATGCTAAATATGCAGCATGTTTGAGGCAATGTAGCAGCAGAGTCAACCAGCACTGACAAGTTTACTTATCAACCGTCTCCAGCCCACAATGTGCTCACATCAGAAACCAGTTTCAGGCATCACAGAGACTTAGGTTACGTGCTGGCATTAAAACTGAATACTAGCCAATGCATCGCGATTGCACATCACTAATAATATCACTATCTGTTTTGTCGTGACTCACCTGGCAGAGCTGCCGCTGGCCCGGATGGTCCCCAGGCCAGTGAGCGTCTCAGAGAAGTGTGAGTAGACGGGCGACAGAGTGAGGCTGCACAGCCGCTTCAGCTCCCGAGACGTGTGGCGGTAGAAGCGCTGGGTGCGGTGGTAGAGCAGAGCCAGGGGAAGCAGGGGCAACAGGACCCAGGGCAGGCCATAGCTGATCACCACCAGCATGCCGAGCAGACCGAAAACGTTGGCCAGCAGGATGTTCAGGGTGAAGGGCAGGTTGTCGTCCACACTGTACAGGTCTGAGGAGAAACGGTTGAGTATGCGGCCCAGCGGGGTGGTGTCGAAGAAGGTCACTGTGGCCTAGAGGGGCACGGAAACAGGACGTCTTTGATTAGAGACCAAACCAGAGCTAAAAGCAGAGTGAATGTTGGACTTTCATTTGCAAGGTGGCTAGTGTTATTTATCTACTTTATATTTCACTTGTATTGTGTGGCATTCATGTGGACGGCAAAGTAAGAATTTCACTGCACAGGGAAACACGTTTCTTTACTATGCACACGACAATAAACACTTTGACCCTTGACCATAACTAAAAATGAATGCTAACACTGTGTGTGTCTGCTAGGGGTGTAAATAAGCAACTGTTTGCCAAATTATGTCAATTAGCATTAGTGTTGTGTTTACAGTTTGTTTCTGCTTCCCCCAAGTGGCCAAGATCTCTGTTTACACCGGTTTTAATCTGAAAAAAATGTATATACATATACATATACATTCACAGCCAAAAAATATTGGCACCCCAGCATTTTGTCAGATAACATACCACTTCTCACAGAAAACTGCTTGGTAGTCTTCAGATGCCACACACAGCCAAGACATCCAGCAGCGCCAACACATCAGTGAACCTCCACCATGTCTGACTGTAGGGACCGTGTTTGTTTCTTTGAAGGCCTCATTTCATTTTCTGAAAACAGTAGAATGATGTGCTCGACCAAAAAGTTCTATTTTAGTCCCATCTGTCCACAGGACATTCTCCCAGAAGGACTGTGGCTTCCTTGGGTTACGTTACAAACTCCAGTCTGGCTTTTTTACATTTCTGTGTCAGCAGTGGGTCCCCTGGGTCTTCTACCATAGCGACCCTTGTCATCCAGATGGTGACAGATAGTGTGAGCTGACACTGTTGCACCCTGCGCCTGCAGGTCAGCTTGAATTTGTTTGGAAGTTGAACAAGGTTCTTTATCCACCATTCAAACAATCCTTCATTGCAATCTGTTATCTATTGTTCTCTTTTGTCCGGGTCCAGGGAGATTAGCCAACGGCGCCGTGGGCTGTAAACTTCTTGACAATGTTGTGCACAGTGGACACAGGAACAGCCAGATCTCTGGAGATGGACTTGGAGCCTCGAGACTGTCCAGGCTTCTCCTCAGACACTTCTTTGCTCTTCTTCCTTTTCTCCACACTGAGTATGGTCCACACCAAACAAAGGCAGAGTCAACTTTTCTCCAATTTATCTGGTTCCAAGTGTGATTTCTACATCGCCAGCACCTGCTGATTGCTACAGATTAAATTAAAGGAGCATCACCTGCTGGAAACACAACTATTTCTGACCAGTCTATCATTCAGTCATTCATTTTCTACCGCTTAATCCCTGAACGGGGTCACGGGAGGGGCCGGAGCCAATCCCGGCCGGTTATCGGGCGAAGGCGGGGTACACCCTAGACAGGTCGCCAATCCATCGCAGGGCTAACACATAGACAAACAACCACACGCACTCCTATGGGCAATTTAGAGACACCAATCAACCTAAGCTGCATGTCTTTGGACTGTGGGAGGAAGCCGGAGTACCCGGAGAGAACCCACGCAAGCACAGGGAGAACATGCAAACTCCACACAGAAAGGTCCCGGGTGGGGCCCGAACCTGGAACCTTCTTGCTGTGAGACAATGGTGCTAACCACTGCGCCACCATGCTGCCCCACCAGTCTATAAGATTTGGCTTTTTGTGTTGTTCCAATGCAAACAAAAGAAATAAACATGAGAATATACCAAAGATGATGATTGCAACAATTTTCTAAGAACCATGGTGTGTTATCTGACAGAAATGCAGGGGTGCCGATACTTCCGGCCGTGACTGTGTGTATATATTTTGGCCACTTGGGGACAGAAGACCACAGACTGAAGCACCAAGCCCTGATGCAGCGTTGCCTTGTACTGTCCCATCAGTGAACATGTTAGCTAAGAGCCTTCTACCATTATAATTCACTTGGAGCTGATAAAACTACATTTGAGTTTCTCCTTTTTGTATTTTGCACTTTGTCATTTAATATTAACATGAACATTAAATAGAAAGTCTTCAAGTCAATAGTTCAGTATTTACTTTCTTACTGAGAGTCAGATGAGAAGAACAATAACACTCTCATCATCTGCTAAGCTAAGCTAACCAGGAGAGTTAGCTTAGCTTAGCATAAAGACTGGAAGCAGCCATCTTGGCTCCGTCTAAAGGTAAAAAAGACATTTAAAGCGAACACCTTGTAACTCCTCATAAAGCTACAACTTATTATTTCTACAGTGTTGTATGTATGGATGAAACAAGACGTAGGCACTGGAAGGCAGATTTAGATTTACTGTCTTCCAGCTTCACATTTAACAAACAGATAAAAGAGTGGTACTGATTTTCTCAGACTGTACGTGAGCACATGTCAAACTATTCCTTTAAAATCTCTAATGGAGATTTACTGTATTCACAATAAATCTAGTGTTGTTACTTACAAAGAACTGTCACCAGTTATTTGCAAAAATGTTTAAACTATTCCTTCAAATCTGTGGCTCAGCCACATAGTTTGCACATTATGCGTCTTGTTCAAGGGTGTTTCAGTGTCATCCTCTGCTGGTCTGCCATTTCAAACTGGCAATCTTTCACCAGCCTGGTTGTCTGACTTTCACCTACTGCTGCCAAACAAACGCTCAATCTGCTCGGCTCGGCTCGGCTCTGACCGCCGGCCTGACGCACCTTAAGACCCCGGTCCAGAAGTCTGTTGTGAATGGCTGTGGCAGCGCAGATGGCTCCGTAGGCAAAGAGGAAGGCTCGGAGGGCAGTGAAGATGGTGTTGGCCACAGCGATGGAGCCGTACACCGTCAGATAAAACTTGACATCAGAGCTCATGTTGCTTGAAACAAATGTTTGCACAGAGGACAGAGGAGATCTGGATGGGAAGATGTGAATGTTCATCATTTCAGTAAGAAAGTTGAACAAAAACATTAGAGAAAGACAGTTTTATATTTCTATTTGTCTTCATTGTGCTAAACAACATTTAAGGTAACTATAAATTATTCAGATGATGACAAATCCTCACATTCTGATCTATTTTCAAAGCCACATTCTGAGGACGTGTTACAGTGTAACTTGAATTATAGAAGTACATTTAAAAACCAATCATTTACATCCTAATATAAACTAAATAAACCTGTACTTACACCACAGCTAAATTACAAGTGGCAAACACAAAGCGTCTGTGCTCTGTGCTTTCAGAACAAGGCAAAGTAAAATAAGATCAGTTTCCATCTGTGGCTGATAAATGTTCTACAGTTCATATTGTGAAAGTTTGGTTCTCAAGTCACTGCCTCGTGCACAAAACTAAATCTGCCACCGAGTGGTCGACTCACACCAGGCCTCCAGGGGAGAAGAGCAGCAGGTGAGGTGAGCTGAAGGCACCTGAAGAAGAACCGTTGGCGCTGGAGGAGCCGTTGTTTTTCATCTCTGAGATCCAATGCGACAGCCACCAGTCAGAAACGTTCTTTGAGGCTGGATCACAAAAACACAACAGCAGTCTGCAGTTAGATAGAACAATGTGGATTTAAAACAGAGAAAACTTTAATTTTCCTGCTTTTTTTCTACAGGAAACAGTGAAGCTTGATGACAAAACTAAAGGCATTTAGGAAGGAGAGCAACTTTCATCTGAGCTGCAGCAACGCCAACAAACTTCTCTGGTGATTGATGGAAGTACATTTTACTTCATTCTTTGAGATCATCCTTCTACTGGCATGTTGTTAGTTTGCTTCCTTTACCTGAAGTACTGAATTAAAGTAAATGAATAAAACCTTTATTACACAACATGTGCTGACATCTTGTTAAACAACAAAGTCCAAAAAATACTGAAGCAACTTATACACAGTGCACAGTCAAGTCCTCAGACCTACACTGTCCATCCATCCATCCATTTTCTTCCGCTTATCCGGGACCGGGTCGCAGGGGCAGCAGTCTAAGCAAAGATGCCCAGACCTCCCTCTCTCCAGACACTTCCTCCAG